AAATACAAGTCTTTGTTCATGTTAGCTCATTAAATAACACAGTTGCAACTTTCGATTTTAACGTTTTATTAAATATTGGAATACCTAAGATTAATGAATGTTTGAATTTAAAGAGTTTTTCATTGGCAATTTATGTTAACTAATGAATTAACTAATGTTAACTAATGAAGCCCTAATGTAAAGTGTGACCGAACAATAAAGAATCAAAACACTTTCAAACAATATCTAGGGCATGTTGTAGTCCAGATTAAAATGTAAAAAAAGTTTGAAAATAAATAGCCTATTAAGTCTAAATAAGTATTTGTCGCTGTGATGAACATCATAGCAAATACACAAATCGGAATGGCTGTTTAAATCATTTAAACACCTTTCAGAAACAGAAAGTAGTGCAGCTGCTTACAGGGTTTCCGGGCTAACGGCTGCATTTCTGCAGTTTAGCGCCATCTGCTGTCAGAGAGTGAAAGTGCGCTTTCATCCAGAGCGTCTCTCACATGTTCCGCCATGTGCTTCTCGTCCGCGCTTGTTTACATCAGAGTGTGCACGCATCTTTCACGCAGCATACAGCGGTGTTGTGCATTTTGACCAGTTGATGGGAAAAGTATTCTTAAAATGCATTCAAAATTCGGAATAATTTGTAATATATAATTATTCACGGTATTTAGAAGTGCCCACGATAACAATATCATGCATATTCATTACCGTGATATATCGCATTACCGAATACCGGCACAAGTCTAGTCAGAGGTAATGTGAAAGAGGGATGAGCGAGTCTTTTGTATGTTGTGACCATGTGACTAATTTTCTTATCCTAATGTGTTCTCCAGCTGCTGGCTCTCTCTCGATCGTTATTTCATCTTGAGCTTCTTCGTGCCCGTCTGCATCGTCATGATCCTCAATAGTTTTTTCTTCATCATCACTGTGTGGAAACTGGCCCAAAAGTTCTCCAGCCTCAATCCAGACCTCTCCAATCTCAACAAGATCAGGTCTGAGTGTGTTTTGATCCCCAAATAGATTCAGTCTTGATTTTTGTGCATCAGTGGTTTTGATGAATTATATTTGGTGCGTAGGAGTTTCACGGTGACCGCTGTGGCTCAGTTGTGTATTCTCGGAGGAACGTGGATCTTCGGCTTCTTGCTCTTCCAGGAGGAAGGGACTGAAGTCATGTTGTACCTCTTCACGATTTTAAACAGCCTGCAGGGGGCGTTCATCTTCATCATGCACTGCCTGCTGTCCAAACCGGTACCCAAAACACAACATGACTCAGAAACCACACGGTGACATGACTCACTCGCTGAACGTTTGCTAACAGTGGTTCGTTTTAGACTTAACATCTCGCAGGATTTCAGTGGTTTAAAGTAGTTCACTTAACAATAAATATTTAGATATTGATTAGTCACACTTTTCAGACCACAAAAGGAGAATTTTACTCGTGGTTGTCCATATAATGGCTGGCAGTTGATGAGCTTCTTCAAGCTTTAAGAAAAAGAATGCAGAAGTATCACAGAATGATCCCATGTGATTTATGCCATATATACCAAGCATTCTGAATTAGAGGTTTACCGATATTTGCCGTTTTTAAATTATCGGCATTGACCGATAAGATTTTCAGTTTGGCCGCTAAGTGTCACAAGCAGCTTTTATTTAGACATCGACGGGACATATTTATATTGACAGCACTAAGAAAGGCAGCATCTGAGCATGGATGCAAGCATAATCTTTAAATCCTAGATTTCAAACCATGTTGCGCTATATCCAGTTTGCCACCATGTTATATTCATGTCATATTCACTCTACTTTATGCATTCGCAGTGCTCGAATTTTTGTTTCCACCAGATTACTGTGTGAACTGTAGGTTACAGCATTTACTTCCTTTTTATTCATGATTTAAATGATTTCTTTATTTGAGAAAAATACTATGTTAGGATTATTATCGGTTTATTTTTTGTCCAGTTCTAATGATTAATTTGAATAATTTTACAATCTAATACAATCTTTTTACAATCAAATTTACAAAATGTATAAAAATGTGAATTTCTTTCTTACATTGTTAGCATGTTATTTAAATAGTGTAACATCATGTATATCATATTTTTATCGGCCACCCTGCGTTTCTATGTCAGTTATGGTTGCTTCTGGGTGAGTGGATTCTCCGCAGGTTTCTTGTCTCCGCTCTATTGCTATGAGACTCGTCAGGATTGTAGCGCGCTCTCAGTGGTTTGCTGGCATGAATGTTATTTCATTCGAGAAGTAGCCTGTCCGCGAAGTGCTCACCCAAGCGGAGAAATGTGCTGTTGCTGCCAGTTCTCATTTGCTGAAAATTGCATTGTTTCATGCTAAACTAATTAGACTAAATCAAATGAAAAGAAAAAAAAACACCGTAGCTGTATATTTTCATGCTTTCTCAAGCAAAGCAAATTTTAAAAGTCCACTGAAAACACATCTTACATTTTTGGTCATAGATATACGTTATACGATATACGTTGAAGATATACGTTATTGTCAACATGCTTAAGTGATGCCTTAAAAAAAAAAAGTTTATAAAAATGTATATATAATTAAATGATAACAAACATAAGGGGAAAAAAGAGGAAACAATAAAATCGTCAGAACATTTTTAAAAACATTCTGAAGATTTTATTTTTTAGGATACCTTTGATTTCTGTGTATGCTTGTGTTGCTTACAGTTAAAGTTGTTCTCTGATTTCATTGTTGTTTGCAACGTTACTTAGCAATATTTTAAATATATAATTTTTGGTATTTTGCATGGTCTGTTATTGGAGTAGTGTCCCCCGGGTGGGAGTTTTAACTCCTATTCACTGAGAATAATAATAATAATAATAATAATCATTCAGTCTATGCAGAGACATATTAAAAAATCCATTGTCAGCTACTAGTCTGAATGCATATGATAAGAATTGGCCAGAAACACCTGTAATTTGTTATTTAGTCGAATATCATTTAGTTTGCCTGTTGTCGCCCCCTTCAGGTCAGGACGGAGTATTACAATCTGTTTGGCCGAATGTGTCCACACAAGAAGAAAGTGGAATACAGTAGCAGCAACAGTCAGGTACGTTAGCGTGTGTGTTTGAGTGTTTCGGACATTAAAGCAGCATTTGTGGCTTCAGCTTCTTCATTCTTCCTTTGTCTTTTACAGAAACCTCTACGGAGCGACGGCAGCACAGGAGAGTCGCAGATATAAAGCACTTGTCATATCCTGATTTTACAAACTTTAGAACGCTTTCTGTGAAAATGAAGATTTTCCACAAAGCCTCAGTTTAACAGGGGGTCGTCAGTTCGTCCTCATTATTCCTGTCCAATCAGAAGATCTGAAAACTGCTTTCCGTTAGTAAGAATACTGATATGGAATCATCATATCTGCTTCACATCGTTTTACAGCTATAGGCCTGTCATCTGAACAGCTAAAGTGGGTCACACCACTAAATGAACAAAATAATTAGAGTGCTTTGGCTTTATTTTGCTGTCTGTTGTGCAAGTAGAAAATCTTACATTTTAGATTATGCAAAAGGCTCTTCTATAAAATGATTTATTGGTCGTTTTATTGTGTTGAGGGCTATCTTGGTTTGATTGTCACAAAAATCAGTAAAAAAATTGAATAGAAGTATGAGAAATGAAAGTAAATCTGTAGTTTCGTTTTAAACAGTTGTGATGGCTTTAAAATACATAAATGATCTAATCAGAAAGGCTGTTATTGTAAAACTTGATAAAGATGTATGATGTTTGTATACTAATATTTCCTGAATTTATTTTGTTATTAAAATGTATTTAAAAAAAAAATCACATTTTCCTGTAATTATGCTGATAATCAAACCAAAAACATCTTTACTGAGGAACGGTGTTGATTTTTTATTTTTTTTAGCCTAAATATTTCTAGTCTGTTTTTCTCTTGCTTTTGTCCATTAGCTGTAACTACGAACAGTTACATGTATGATATCAATTAGTAACTGACATTCATAATTTAATGAATTAAGATCTGGTATTATTATTCTTAAATGACTTGAAGATTACAGTTTTTAAACTGTTTATTTGTGCATTCATTCATTCTCTCTGTAATTATATATTTACATTGACGAATATCATGAGTGGAAGCGAGTGAAGAAAGTGCTGGGATTTCTTCTCACACTGCCCTGTTGAAAAAAACAGCATATGCTGGTTAGGTATGTTTTGACGCTGGGATGCTGGTTTAAGATGGTCCTTTGCTGGTTTATGCTGGTCCTTTGCCAGCACATGACCAGCATAAACCAGCAAAAGGACCAGCATAAACCAGCAAAAGGACCGCTTGAAATCAAGCTCACCAACAGGCCTGGTTCTACGGGGGTGCTAGAAGGTGCTTAGCATTCTCAGTTAAAGCTGTATTAATGGCATTTTATTGCAGATTTGGCAAACTTTCCAGTCCGGTATGGTTTGCGCTCTGGAGATCGAGTTCTATTTCAACGTGTTTTTGCAGCATAGCCAATCACAGACATATCTGTTGATATCTTGAATCAGATGCGTTTAAGTTAGAATCCACGCGTTTTTGTTCAGGTATTCAGCATTCATCTCATTATATCAAAGTGTTGAAGCAATGTAAATAAGAGATTCATTGTGCAGCATAGAGAACTTTATTGATAATAACGCATCTTTGTAAGATCGCGATGAACTACGATGAGTGACAGCTTTTTAGTGATTATGAACTGAGCGCTCTTTGTGCCATAGCAACAGACCCCGCTAATAAATATATATATATAGAGAGAGAGAGAGAGCACCCTCACTATTTTAAGAAACACTCGGTGATTTGATTCTGCAGCCGGGCCTGATCTGTAAGCATTTAAGTTTACTAGTGCCCGACTTGCAGAACGCGTCTATCAATAAAAGTAGGAATGCAACAGAAAATGGTTGATTTCTTCTATTTTCTAGTAGGAGGAATAACAGGAGAGCTAGATACCAGACGAAGAGCTGAAGAGTTTGAGGATGTGAAGTAACAGCTGGAGACTGATTTTCTTTGGGAATTTAATATATCTCCAACCTTCAAAAAGCATAAAAAGTACTTCACTTGGAAAGCAGCGTTTACGGTTTCCTAACATGGAGCTGAAGTGGGCACTCCTTTTGGGTGAGCAGATTTTACTCTGTTTTATTTTGTTGACTTGTGTGGTGAATACATTTGTGACGTACTGAACATAGTCAGACCATTTCTGGGAATAGAGCCTATGTTTCAGAGACAGTTAGATCAGTTGTTTCTGTGTAACAAAGACTGCTCTTGAAGCTCGACCACTTCAGCTGTTAAAAACCTGAAACATGAATGTTGCCTCTTTGTTCTGCATTAACAACCAGTAAAGGACTGTTAATGATTAGAAAATGATTGTTAAATGTGTGATATATATATATATATCATTTGTTTTTTAGATCGATCCTGATTTCTACTGTGTTTGTCAAACCTTTTCCTTTATTTAACAGTCGCTTTATTTCTGCACACTCTTATACCATTAATACATAAAACCACAAGAACAAAAGAAAACCCACAAGAACACAATTTTTGTCATGTTATGAAAGAAGAGGTTTTTGCAGATACTGTCAGTTCATTTTTCCATCCGCTGAAATGGGGCTTAACCCTTAAATACATGCATCTATAAAAATACAATCAGGCTATTTAGCAAAAAGGCAAGGTATTTATCCTTCAGCAATATTCCTACTTTAAGATCACAGTGTAATGGCTGTAATGACATACGTATGTTTGGAATGAAGCCACTTTTGAAATACAAGCCAAAATTCCTATTAAAGTTCACTGTGGAAGAATAAATGCTTTACACTTTTAATATTTTACTCACAGAACCCACATCAAATGCTCTCCCAGTTAAATCTTTTATGTAAGTTGTTGGATGGATAAATGGCTTTTTAGGATTTACTTTTTAGTCTTTTTTTTAAATGTCACTGCTACAAATAATATTTCCATATGTGTGTTTTCCTACCTTATTTGTGGCGTGAGCGCTCACAGTTCAAATCAAATAAATACATTTATAATATTTAATATATATGTGAAAATAAATTATAAAGCCACATTTATAATGTGAAGTTGTTTACCTTACAGAATTTCATTTTCACCCAATTTCCATTGTGTTGCTTGCATGCTAGAAAGCTGGAAAAAAAAAACAAATCATATGCTTGATGCTTTAAATTTTTATTTATATGATTTCAATATAGCTCTATTTTTTTCTGTCTCTTCCCAGGTCTCTTTCTACCGTCATGCAGTGGTTGTGCCATTGGATTTAAACTTGTTAAAAACAAATGTGTTGGTAATTATGAGCTTGTGGTTTAATTGAACAGTGCAAAAGTGAAAGTCTGTCCTTTTGTGGTCTAAAAGAGGGAGTTCTAGAACTGTAGTTCTAGTCATTACTAAGTTAAAATGCATGTTTCCTTCCTGATTCCCCTCATATGTCCAGATGAGGATGAGTGTGTGATTTTTCAGAGTGTGTGTGGTGATTGTACTCAGTGTGTAAATACACCTGGAAGTTACTACTGCAGCTGTGATGTAGGATTCAAAGAGAGCTTCCCGTGTGAAGGTATGAATTCGCATAAACTTTGATTAAAAAGGAATTACAAAACATTGTAAAAGCATTTGATCATATTGCAGTACACAGTCTGGCTTAATTTATAATGATATAATTTATACTAAAGCAATAATTCACGCCAGCTGCTGTCTTTCCCTCCGGTCAGATATAAACAAGTGTCCCGAGAACGAATTCTCTGGATCTGGTGATATGGAGTTTCAGACCTCAACCGGCTCTGAAGCAGAATGTGAAGGTACCTATTGTTTTTCTGGCCTATCGGTTTAATCTGACATATGTTAAACAACAGCTACCAGTTTGGACTGTATGATGCTGATGCAGCACCAGCACCACATCAAATCAGTGTGTGTCTAAATATGTGCAATTATCTTAAAATGACATTAACAGAGACTGTTTTCCCATCTTTTTTCTCTTTCAGACATCTATGAGTGTTCAGATCCAGATGTTTGTGGCAGAAACGCAGACTGCTACAATAATCCAGGTGGCTACAGCTGCAAATGCCACGAAGGGTTACAGTAACTATGGCAACAACCAGTCAAAATGCATCGGTGAGAATTAGAAACTATTATTTGCATCATTTTAAATGCACTGATATATTTTTTAGATTGTTCTGTTTATCATGTGGCAGCTAATGAGAATCTTATGGAAGTTAATCAGTATAGTCTGTTTGCTTATGTTGGTCTTTCTTGCTGTTGTGCACAGAAATGGACTGTGATCAGTTTAAACTTGAGTCTGATGCAGACCACACACCGGAGAAGGTAGAATGTGGACTTCTGCTTATGATTAGTAGTATTAGTATGCCCAGGGAACATCTCCACACTTTTTTAGTTATGTAAATGTAAAGATAAAACATTCTTAAAATAGCAAACATTTTAATGCTCTTTAATTATTAATATCTGATATGCATTCTCAGCTCATTGTAAAGACAAAACATTCTGAGAACAACATTCTCAGATGTTATTTGTACATTATGTATGTTCTCATAATGTTGACAGAATATGCTCTTAGAAAAAACATTCTTTGTGTTATTGATGTTTGCTCAATGTTAACATTCAAAGAGTGTTGCATTGTGAGTAAAGATTAAGAGAATGTTGTATTAACGTTGTAGAAACGTTGCAAATCACTGTTTTTACATTTAAACTGCAAAGGTGGCACAGAACTGCTTCTGATGTGGCAGTGAGGTGTCTCTACGCACACTGTTTCATGCTGCTCGGAGATGGCATAAATGACTTTTATGATGCACTGTCTTTACACAGCCTTATTCAGTTGTGTAAATATGCCTATAGACTTCCATGTGTTAACTGCTTCTGATGTGGCAGTGAGGTGTCTCTACGCACACTGTTTCATGCTGCTCGGAGATGGCATAAATGACTTTTATGATGCACTGTGTCTTTACACAGCCTTATTCAGTTGTGTAAATATGCCTATAGACTTCCATGTGTCGTCTTCTAGTTGAAGCATTTGATGTCACTGTTGAAGAACAGCTGTGAGTCTCTGAATGATCCACGTGGAGAACGTTTCACTGGAGAGAAATTGTTGGAGGTGAAACACACGCTGCACGATACAGTATATACTCGGATTGTAGTTTGTGATCATGCACTCGCACAGTGGCTGAATGAACGTCTCTGATTTATTCCACAGGACTTGTGCAGTTCCTCTGACGAGCTGCTGTCTGATGGAAACATCGCTGACGGGAAGACTCTGAATCAGTTTCTGGACGCGGTGGAGAGCAGCATGCGTCTGATCGGACCTCAGCTGAGAGAGCCTGTGACCAGGATGGAGACACACAACACCTGTGAGAAACAACAAACATTACAGTTCAGACACAGTCACACTGTGGTACTGAATGGAAATACTGAAAATAAGGCATTTTTATTATTCAGAGTGATTTACACGCACATTCAGATTTAACGGTGTGTTTAATTGAGATTGAAGGCAGTTGTTCTTTATGATCATGTGAATCACAGTCGCTGAGGTTGCAGTCATGAAGAGTCAGACTCCGCCCAGTGGGCGTGTCTCTCTGAGCACAGACTCCGCCCTCTTCAGCACCAGTTGGGAAACAGTTGTAGGAAAATCATATCCAGGTACAAATAAACACGTGCACATATATGTACTAATGAAGCCATCAGCACTTTCATGACGAGATGTAAATGTTCTCTTGTTCACAGGTTTTGCGTTTGCGGCTCTGGTCAGTTATAAAGA